CGTCCTGTGCGGTGGGCGTGGCTTACGCGGCCTGTGCAGTGGGCACGGCGGCCGCAGCGGGAGCAGCGTGTGACGTGTGGCTCAGGCCGCATGTGGAGCCCGGAACAGCCCCGAACAGGCAAATCAATCGATAGCCGACGAATCGACGATCGAAAACGTTGCCAACGTTTTCAATCGTCGATTTTAATCGACTAAATCGATTAACTGTTGCAGCTCTAGGAGAATCATTCCAAATTAGCGATGTTGTCCTAGATTGTTCCCTTCTCCCAACTCTTCACCCTTTGGTGAATAACCCTGTAAGCCTTCATGCTAAATCGCGGTGCTTTGGAGTGCGGGCTTGTGTGAATGATCCCTCAGAGTCGGTGTGTATTAGGTAAGATGATAAAATGTTTTCATTCATTGTCAGTGTGTATAGGTTTGTTTTACCTTCTTCATTTCATTTCGGGGTAATGCTGTCTGAATGCAGTTCAAAGGACAGCACAAGAAAGAAGAGGTGACATACAGAGGGGTCCCGAGGCGGGGTGGCACCCAGTGCGGGTACCGGGTGACACCCCGTGGTGACATCATCGCGCACGCGTGTGATGACGTCACGCGCGGTACAGCTGTTACCTGCCGGCAGCCATCTTGGTAATGGACACTGGCAGAGAGAGGAGGGGACGTCACCTGGCGGGATAAGGTATGCCGCCGGGTCCCCTCTCTCTCTCTCGAGCAACTGTCAGGCTCTCGGTCCTTGACCTAGTGGCCGACTTTTCAGAGGGGTGGGTGACACCAAAATGACTGCCAGTCATTTTGGTGTCACCCCTCCAATGGTGTCACCTGGTTGCGACCACACCCCCCACACCCCCCTTGTGACGCCACTGGTGACATATTTTCAGATGTACTTGACTTGCTCAGCTTGGAGCGGATCCATGTTAAAGCGCTTTTACTCTTTAAGTAGATACCAGCAGAGGACGCAGGATTCCAGGGCACAGGTTTTTATTAGCAGTGTTTCCATATTCTATAAATAACATTCCATGTGTCGTATTTTTTACACCCGTATTCTATTAAACAGACATGCATACTGCAGCAGAACACGCCTCATACCTGACCAAGTATATATTTCTTTGGAACAGTCTTCACAGGGCGCCCTCTGCTGGTGACGGCATAATGACTGTAGATGTGCAGTACATTCCAGTGCTTCCTGGACAGTCCGGGTTTTGAATGCTGTGTCCGGGTTTCATGGCAGCGAAAACCCGGACACAAGATATCAGGCAGACAGGGGCAGCCGAAATTAGGATAGGGGCTACTGGCCCCCCACTGAAAATAGTCTCAACTGTGTTAATTACATATGAATGGGCGGAGCCATTTACATATGAATAAGCCACCACTCATTCTCCCAAAAAAATGTCTGTGCGGTCGCTTGAGTGTTCGGGTTTCGCTTGAAGAAAAGGTAGCAACCCTAAGCCTTACCCCTTCCCCATCGCCAATCTGAAACTCACCTGTCCCCGATCCAGTGAAATATTGCTGACCAGGCCACAAAGCTGCTTGTGTTCCAGGCCAACTCTTCATA